TCAAAATGTATTGTATTAAAAAAATATATTAAATCAAAAAGTGCGTTTGGTCAGACTCTTTATATCCTATTTAAAAAACCTAATAAAAACATGAAATATATTTTCCCTCCCCAATATTTTAGAATTATATTATAATCAAAAATATATTCACCTGATCATATGCATATGAAAAGTGTACACTAGTAAATAGAAAGTAACAAAAGGTTAGACAGTCAAACAACTTATCTTTACAGCACTATAAGTCCATAGGAAAACTCCTCTTGGCACGGCTAAATCAGTTTGTTGCTGTAAAGGACAAATCCCAGGGGAGTCTGGGCACAAAACCAGTCACTGGTATATCTGCTCGGAGTGACGGCAAAATCCACGAGAGTTGCTAACTATTTAAGAAATTCTGTTACTAACGAATATCCTTGAGGGAGTATTCTTAAGTGAATTATCAGATTTAATTTCTATGTAATTTAATAAGTGTAGCAGCATGGATTGACTGCACCAAAACAAAACATTAAAACATTAGGTTAGGTCAACATGTCAAAATTTCTGAAGTTACTTAGTAGACATGACAGGCTTGCGCCATAAAATGAACATGCGCAGAATACAGAAGGCTGTTCAATAATTGGAGAGCCTATTATATTCCACCAAAAAAAGTTAGAGAAAAAAAAAAGAAAACAAAAAAGCCTAATGATACGACGTGGACTAAAACAGAATTTAAGTTTGACTATATAAAAAATTACCTTATGTTCTTTGCGAGTGAATCAAGGAAATTTTGAATTTAAATTATTTCGGAACTCAAAAATAAATCTCTAAAGAAATACTAAACTGCAATGATAAATTTGATTATATGATAAAGAGATAATACGTATGAAATGATTTACTTACATGGAGCCGCAGCACGCCAAAAAAATCTTCCTTTTTATGTGGAACTCTTATAAATGAATCTTGATTTTAAAAATTAATTATTATTATTATTATTATTATTATTATTATTTTATTTTATTATGAGAAAATTTCACTGATTAACGTGTCTGCGCTGAATTCTGACCAGAAACTAACGGCTTTCGCACAAACTCGACCAATCTTCCTTTCAAAGCGACTCCTGCGTGTGTGTGGAAAAATGTCGATTTAAAAATCGATCGCGGGCGGGTCACAAGAAGTTTCGTGAGGGGTTTTATTAATACAATTTTTAACTCTGATAATATTGCACTAATTAGTAGCGTAAACGATACAATGCAAAAATAATCTTGATAAAATGGTTCGACCTCCACATGAAGTCAAAATATTAATCATTGTATGAAGACGACTCGTCGGTTGATAAAGAGCTATCGCGATTACTATTATTTACATTGATAATTAATGGTTCAACCGAAATGTCCACTCTTGTGTCTATATCCCACATTCTATCTTCTTCTTTTAGTGTATCTTATAGAATTTTTCCCAGACTCAGGTGTGACATTTTGTATCGCAGTAGCTGACAAGCACTTCACCTCCTCCATTTTATAACTCAAGTTTTCTCTGGCCACTTGGTTTTTTTGTTTGAGCCCATATAAGCTCGATAGGGTTCAGCTTACAATGATAAGGAATAAGAATAGGAGGATAAAGAAGGAATAAGAAAGGAGGCGATGTACAATTATATTGTTTGCACGAGCCGTTTCATCGACTGCATATTTCTTGATAACGGGTATATGTATCCTCGCGAGGTTTAATAATTGTACTTTTAACATGTTGTCATCGATTGGTATATTTTTTTGAGAGAGCCAATTCATTATTTCACCTTTTCGCTAGGCAGTCGTTGGTGATGGCTCCAAACGCCGACTGTGGTATGACGCATTGTCCATAACAACGACAGAATTTGCTGCAAGGTTTGATAGAATATTTGAAAACCAACCTTTGAATCTTTGAGCGTCCATACCCTTATGGTAATTGTTGGTTTTCTTGGATTCGAATAGTAACAAGCCGTTGTCCAAAAAACCTGAATCGCTGCCTATATATGTTATTATGAGCCTCCGTCCTTTACCCAATGGTGTTTTTAAACCTAATGAAAGCTCTTTAATGAAGGCTTTTCTACGACTTTTAATTTCTAAATCTCGCCACACCTTTGAGACAGTATGACCTTGATTTAGCCAAGTTTCATCTAAATAGTATACTTTTCGTCCTTCACGATTATACTCTCGGATTTTTTGTAAGTTATTACTCCGCCACAAATCAATTTCATCTTTTTCTAAAAGAACACTATTCCTGCTTCTTTTCATATATTTAATGTTCATTTTGTTCTAATGTTCACAGTAAAACACGTCGTGATATTTTGGGTATTGATTTATCGGAATTTATTTCAACTTCAACTTTCTTTAAGGTTGGGATTTCGTTCCGAAAAAAGAAAGCATGGAATTTCCTCCGAATAGCATATTTGGTATGATCTTTAAGCTGGATGCGTTTTCTATCTCGGGTTTCAATGGTTTATTGAACATATTGTTTACAATTCTGTATACACTTCTCGTCGACATTTTAGTCAAACCACTACATAACGCAACTACATCGTTGACCAACATACTTTTATTCCTTTTACGGAGTACACAATATACATTGAATATAATAGTTTTTTCTCCCATCGAAAAATTTGGACTACTGCTTTTACTTTCCATAATACCTAAAATATGTGTTCACTGCTTAGATTTTCTAATCGATATGTGAGTCATGTCCTGCTGTAAGGGTACGATGAGTAAAATACTATTTTGCTGACGTTACGTTACATAGCAACGACGAATAGAATCGACGGTTGCTAGGCAAGTCAGCAAAATAGTATTCTACTCATCGTCATTCCACCACTGTTTACTTCGATAGCAAAACAACTGAATGCCTAAGTAGGCGACTTTCACCGACTATGGCGGTTTTAGGGAGGTATAACTACATATTACGTTCTAACCTAAAATTATTATTTATTGTAATTAACTCATATTTATAAAACAATAATAGAAAATATTGGGTTGTACGGCGATGTAGTATATCTTTTCTAAGTAAAAATATTAACGGAATAAAAATTTTGATTCTAAAAGTATGTCGAGTGGGAGATAAAAAATGGAAAGTATTAAACGAGCACTGAAAGACGTATATGGCGTCCTTCATCATTTTTAGTGCCAAATTTAGATTTCTCGTCCCAAAAAACTTCAGCTTACTAAATTTCGTGCTGTTATCCCAGGCACCCTTTATTTTTGATAATATCAACTTTCATACTAAAGTAAGTTAGTTTAAATTGGCCTATTTTAATCTCAGAAATCTAAGATTAGGTCATGGCCATTCGTTACCAAACATTGCGTATATTATATTAATATATATATATATATATATATATATATAAATATATATATATATATATATATATATATTTATATATATATATATATATATATATATATATATATATATATATACATATTTTTCATATATATATTTTTATATATATATATTTTAAATTATTTAAGTAGGAGTAACTTATGAAAATACGACTTGAAACTTTCTGATTTAGTAATTCTAATTCGAAGACATTTAGCGGTGTATCTAAAACAATCCACAATGAATTAATATAATCAAATAGTTACATTCTGAGTAACGTTATTGAATCTGAGATTCACGAAACCATTTACTTTTCACTAGAAGTAAATGAAACTACCGACGTACCATGTCCATAACAATTATCAATTGTTGTTCGATACGCATTACGTGGTGATATTTATGAGAGGGTTTTACGTTTTACAGACTGAGTAAAAGCCATAAGGCAGAATATATTTTTGGTGTTTTAAAGGACAGATTAAAATTTTTTGATACCAAAAATAAATTGGTACGGCAAACTTATGACAGCGCTGCCGTGATGTCTGGTGAATTGACTGGCCTCCAGGCAAAAGTTAAAAATATTGCACCGCAAGATTTATTTACTCACTGTCATACGCATAGAATTAATTTAGTTTTGCAGGATACATGTAAAAAGAATTAAAGAATGTCGTCTTTTTTGCCAGTTTAAGCGGATATGCTTCATTTTTCTCAAGTTCGCCTAAACGGATTCATGTTCAGAGGCGATGGAATTTAAATCTCGGTCAGTTCTTACTGTGGTAGATTTTCGTGAAGAGCTTTTGGAAGTTTTTTATTTTATTATTGTATGCGACGATTTTGAAAGTGATGATATCTCGATCCGTGAAGCAATCGGTTTGAAAACTTTATTAAATGATTACTCTTTTAATATACTTTTAAATATTTTTAAGAAAGTGTTTACCCAAACCGATTTGATATTCAATGTTGTACAAAATCATTTAACTGACAGTATTTATTCCAAAAATAGAATGTGTAACAAAACTGGTGCAAAATTTCAGAGATTTTCGTAATGATAGTAATTTCCAGTATATACGCAGTGACGTTTTGGACTCGCTTGTTATTGTCGAACCCCCTCCCCCCCAAAAAAAGACAAACGCATGACACAGAAATATATTTCGAAAAACGAGTATATTTTGAAATTTTGGATACTGTTATTATGCTACTATTATATTTATATACTGCAATTCATTACAACAAACTGGGACTGAAATTAAAAAATTATTGTCATTAATTCTCTCATTACCATCAACATTTGCATCAAATGAACAAGATTTCTCCTGTCTCAAAATAATCAAAACAAAAAATCTCCTATGGTGAATAAAGTTTTTATTAGACAGTATACCTATCTGAGGAGACAAAAATACCTTGTCGATCTTATCTCTTAAGCCACAAGACGCCACTGTCATAACCTCTATTTGACAATTTGCATTTGACATGAACTGTCAGTTGCAAACAAATAGACTTTATTTATTAAAATATAATCAAAGCTCATCCGATAAAATAAAATCTCTTGTGTTATGGTTTAGTACCCCTGAAATAAATTTCGCATGTTTATAGACTAATTTTTTGGAAACCAGTAGTTTTTAGAATTTTATTTTCAAACAAGTTGTTATTCCGATTAACTTAACTATTTTTTATTTCAGATGCTACTCACCTCCTCATGGCTTATTGATGGCTTAATGTATTTAAGCATTTTACTTATTACTACTTATAGTTACCTTACAAGAAACTTTAATTATTGGAAAAGAAAAAATGTTCGGTATTTAAAACCTGTCCCTTTATTTGGTAATCTTTATGACGTGTTATCATTTAAAACTACTACTCAAGAATGTATAAAGAAAATTTGGGATGAAATAGATGCACCTTATTTCGGAATGTTCATTTTTGATGAACCTGTATTAGTTTTAAAGTCTCCCAAACTAATTAAAGACGTTTTGATTAAAGATTCTTCGATATTTTGTAACAGAAGAGTTGCGACACCTTCACATCCCAATATGGCACATGGAATGTTTTTCTTAAAATATAATGAATGGAGAAAAGTAAGGAAAATGCTCAGTCCAATTTTTACCGTAGGCATGATAAAATATTTGCAGCCTCATATAATCGACATAAACAAAACCATGATAAACTTTGTGCAAAAGAATTGTGGTATTTTTGATGCTACAAAAATTGGAGAAGATTTCGCCATTGAGTTTCTAGTTAGATGTTTTTACGAAGCCAATCCACGTTGTTTTAATGAAAAAACATCGGTATTTAAGAAATATATACACTCGATGTTTGCTTTTAATTTTAGGAATGGAGTTGTCCAGAATTTATTCTTTTTAAAGCCATCATGGGCATCTGCTTTAAAATTAAATTTTGTTGCAAAAAATTGCATTAAGTTTTTTGAAGACGTTTTTAAACGCATAATGACGACTAGAGAAAGTTATGATGGTAAACCGCGAAACGTGGTAGATGTAGCAAATAAAGCTGCCAGAGAAAAGAAAAACGGAGAACAAGATACTCTAGGTAAGTTCATTTTATTAACAATTTGTTCTGATCTTTTATTAACAAATATTTCACTGCAATCTGATCAGAAATATCAATGAGCAGTTCTGTTCAGTCCTACATTAACACTAATGAATCCTTACGATTAACCCTTTCACTGCGCATGGCACGGATCCGTGCCAGAATGAGTTTTCAGACAGTGCGCGTGGCACGGATCCATGACACATGCACATTATCACTTTCCTTGCCAGTACGAACTAAGCGCTAGTTCAAGGTTAACGTACGTTGACGAGCGTGTACCGTACATATCGGGACTTCTTAAAAGTTCGTTCGTTTCGGATTTTGTTCTTCGTAGATAGTAAGGGTTGATAAGGGTCTATGGATGATAGTAATGCAGGACCGTCGGGCATTAAAAAACGTAAAATAGTGTGTAAAAATCCTAAGGAACTATTACAACTATTGGAAGAATTGAGTGACGATGAAACATATTTTAGTGATAACGATGACAATTTTAAACTTGATGATGAGTCAAGTAATGACTAGGTAGATAGTGATGGAGTAGATGATGGAGACAATGAATCAGGTAGGATTACATTTCATTTTTATTTGGGTAGTAAAATTCATAATGTTGTTTGATTCTAAAAGTGGCCACTGTAATATTATACAGGGGGTGTTCAAAAATAGTTTTAATTAGTTTTTTAAAAACTTAATATAAATTTTGTTACAGGAGCAGTTTTGTCGACTACACAAGAACAACATCAAGTTCCCGTTGTTACAGATCTGGTTGCAGCTTCGAATCCTGTAGTAGGCATAACTCTTGCTGCTACCGCAGCAAGTACCATTACAAAGTGGTCGGAAGTTCCTATGCGTATGTTATATATTCCATTTTCTAAAACTAACGAGCTATTACAAGCAATACCGGGAAATGAACCCATAGACTACTTCAGAGCAATACTTGATGACCAAATGGTAGGCTAAATAGTAGAAGAAACTAATACTTACGCAGATGATGTTTTCCTGTCTAACGGTACTTTGGAAAAATCTCAAATTAGTAGGTGGAAGAATGTAACTTTTCAAGAAATGTTAACATTTATTGGACTAGTGTTACACACGGGTATAACACGGCCTCCAAGATTATTGAAAAAGTCACCCATTATTTAATTTGAAATATTTTTTATAGCACATAAGTCGTGGTTGATTTTTGCTGATAATGAGGTGTTTACATTTTAATAGAAACATACCCGGACAAGCAGCACAGGATCGATTATATAAAATAAGACCAGTTATAGATTTTTTTAACAACAAGATGTCTGCCCTCTACTACCCTGGGAAAAATCTATCGACGAATCTGTGGTGCTATGGCGAGGACGTTTAGTGTTTAGGCAGTATGTAAAGAACAAACACCATAAGTACGGAATTAAATTATATATTTTAACAGAACCGGGTAGCACAATTCTGAAAACTTTGGTGTATACCGGGGCTTCGGATCATATTGGAGAGAAACGTCATACTAAAAAGGTGGTTTTAAAACTTCTGAAAAACTATTCAGATGCTAGCCATTTTATATACTTTGACAATTTCTATAACTCTTTTGACCTAGCCAACCTAGTTAACTAAGCTCAAGACTTATTGCACTGAAACTCTGAATTCAAAGAGAATTAATAATCTCACGAAACTTATTTCTAAAAAACTTAAAAAGGGTGAAACATGTGCAGTGTATTCTCACAACCTGTTGGTCGGTAAATGGAAAGACAAAAGAGATGTTCTATATTTATCTAATAAATAAGAAAACGAAATGGTCGAGTTTGCAGATAAAAGACATTGTACCAAAACAAAACCTAAACCAATTTTTCATTACAATAAGCAGATGGGCGGAGTAGATCACCAGGACCCAATGAATGCATATTATCCCTGTGACAGAAAAACATTAAGGTGGTACAAAAAATTGGGTATGCATTTTATACAACTTATGCTCCTCAATGCCTTTTTCCTCTTCAAAAAATATTCGGGTAGAATAGAATAGAAATATGCTTTATTGTCACTGAAAAGTATTGAACAATTTTATGGACAAAGCTAAAAAATAAATCAGTCAAATAGTACAAAAAGTATAAAACAAAAACAAATATAGTAAAAAACAGAATAACATAATTTTAAATTAGTAAAATTATTGTATAACCTACATAATTTGTACAGACAACAACAAATGAGACAAATTGTAGCCACTGCTTGAGACACCCAAATGTAATTAGGTATAAACAATACTAATTTTGTTTCTTTGTTATACATTAAGAAACTCGTCAACTGAATAATATGGTCTTTCTGAGAGATAGATTTTTGTCACCTTACGAAACTTAATGAAGGATGTTGCGGATTTAATTTCTCTTGGAGGGTGATTATAAAGTTTCTTTGCACGATATAGAATAGAATTCTTTACTAGCTGAGTGGACGGTATCGGCAAATAAACGTTACAATCCGAATTTCTAATGGAGTAGCCATGGTCAGGTCTATCGGGAAAAATGTTTAGATGCTTTCGAATCAAACAAACCGTTTTCAAAATAAATAAAGAGGGAAGCGTCAAAATTCCGTGATTTTTGAAGTAGGTCTTGCGATGAGTTGTTTGTTTGAGACCAAATAGATAACGAATTGCTCTTTTTTGCAACTTAAAAATAGTATCGAATTGGGCCGCTGTACTAGAACCCCAAAATGGAAGCCCATATCGAAGATGGGACTCGAACAATGAGAAATATGCCATTTTGGCAGAAGATAAATTTAGTTCCTTCGAAACAGATCTTATTGTAAAGCAAGCTGAGGCTAGTTTCTTTTCCAGGTAAAACCATGAGTCTTTATGATTTCCATGGTGACTAGCTGTCACATCAAAATTATTAAAAATTGAAGTACCCAATACTAAAGCTGCCCAGACCAATAACCCAACATCACATAAACTGACAAAAATGACATCTGTGAACAAAAAAGGTGAAACAAACAGAAAACGTTGTAGATTTTGTTCCCAAAAGAAAAGTAGGAAAATGACATTGTACCATTGTGAAGGATGTCCTGAACAACCTGGATATTGTGTGGGAGATTGCTTCGACGTTACCCATAAATAACATTTTTACTATTTTTATTTTAGATTGTTCTTTTTCGTTTTATGTTTATTGGAAAAATGATTATCTTTTTATTGTATTAGTTTATTTTATTTAGTACTTTGTTGCAACACAAATATTTTCCTGTTTTTGTTATTTTATTGGAAAAGTGAATTATTTTTGTTCTTTGTTTTTTTAATTTAAATCTTAGAGTTTAAATATATTATTTACTGATTATTAACAAAATAAAGATTTTCTTAGAATAATTTAAAATTTCTTCTACATCAATTTTGGCCTAAACCACTCATAACAACGTATTTGTTACGGATCCGTGTCGACGAGCACTGCATAGAAAAATTTTTGACCAGTGCGCATGACACAGATCCGTGACAGATGTCAAAATTGACATCTGAGTAATAATTTTACATCCCTTAATCCAAAAAAAGACTTTTTCAATAAAATTTTTTTATTTTTTACAAAAACAAATAGCTGCTTCTGGGCATGTCTTAAATCAAAATGTAGCAGTGAAAGGGTTAATAATGTTTTTACAAGGTATTTCTTACTTACAGTAAATATTGACACAAGCCTCGATATCTACATGTTGATGCAATCTTTGCTCACGATTGTTGGCACAATTTGTTATTATCACTGCAACAGTCTTCATCCTTTTAAGTTTCGGTTAACCCATTTACGGCCAAAGGTGCGTAGATGCAACCTTATTTTTTTTTGGCCCGAAAATAATTTTTTTAATATTTTATTTTTATTGAAGTAACATCTTAATATATTGAGATAGATAGTATAATTTTTCTCTTGACAAAAATATTACTTTTGAAATGTTTTAAGATTATTAAAATTTTGCAAAATTTAATGATTTATGCACGTCTGCATACAAGTTTTTTTTTGATACTAATTATAAACATAATTCATATTTTGTATTCTATAATTATAAAAATATGTTGAAATTTGTATTATTCTAAAGCTTATTTATTCATAATTGAAAATAAGGCCTATAATTTCATATTTATACGATGGATTCGTGTACGCACCTTTGGCGGAAACCATATTATAATATTTTTTTCGTTAGAATAAACAGTCCGAAATTACGATCTCCTCAATAATAGTCAATACATTTCATTCACTATTTATAGAATTGTTGTGTGCTGTAAACGTTATATTTGTTTTTTTCTTGACTTGAATCAGTTTGAAAGTTTTCTTGTGTTGTTTATTTGTTTTATATTTCATTGAAATGGGGTAAGCTAACTTATTATTAAATGCTTGTATACAGTCGTAGTGCATTTTTTGTTTATTTTAGTAAATTCTCGAAATATAAAATTAAGGGGGCACTAACTACTAAAAAGTTAGTGGCTTTGTTAGAAGAAGACTCAAACTGTGAAAATGCTGACTAACTTTATGTGGTTTATGTGCCGCCAGAAACAGATAAAATTTCCAATGTAGAAGACATTGATGAAGAAAGAATAAAAACGGATATTGCAGGTACATATAAAATACAAGTGAATGGGAATTCTTACGATTCTGATTATGATATTCTTCTGAACCACAGATTAAAACGTCCAAAGGAAAAACCGAGCAAAAATAATAAATCCAAATTTGTCCCAAGTTGGGTAAAAACAGATAGGTACTCCTTCGTACTCGGCAGTAATTTAACCATGTAATATCAATTAGTCTGATTGATTTTTAAAAATATAAAAACCAACCATGGAGGCAAATCACATATTAAAGTTTTTTACTCTTTTCTGATAAAGAAGTAAGTGAGAGCATTCTATATTTTACAAATATTTATACATCGCAGAATAAGCGTCACAATTTGGAAATGAATAATATAAATTTAACAAAACATTATTAGCGTATTTATATTATGTGGTTATCATGCTCTGCCTCGAGCAATTTCGTTTGCTTCTTTCATTGCTATCGACTCGTGCAATACATAATACAAAACAAAACCATTTCCACAATTGTGTATTGTAAGAGATTGTAGGTATAATATTTTCTTTCGTAAAATCAAACCGATGTTTCTAAAATCGGTGTCGGAAGACACTGTTGTAGGTCAAATGTATAGCACAAGACTGAGTGGTCTTCCAGTTCTAATTTTTTGTCTTTACGTTTACAAGTATAAGCTAAGTCGGCTTCTTTATGATGCTTTGTTTGTTTATCTGTAAGTGTATTTTTGTTTTCCTCATTATTGGCGATAGTCAACTCCATTTTCAAAACTTCACATTTGTGACATACATCTGTGTTTGGCTTTTTAAAAGCCAGGTTAAGCTTGTGAAACTCGACTTCGTAAATTTTGCAACTAACTGGCTTAGCTGTAGCTGTACGGTACAGTCTATACATTTTAGTCAAATTGAGGTCAAAAGGTAAATGCAACTTACTATTCACTTGACTTTCAATGACTTTCGTATTTAAGGAATGAGTTTATATGGGTTATAACTTGTTGTATTCGCTTAGGAAACGTTTTGTTTATACACTTTCCACGATTATCGTCTTGTTACACACTTGTTATACTTGGCGCCTTATTTTTAAATGTGTTACAAATAAACTTTTCGGATTCATCTAAAGTTCCTTAAAAACATTTTTTGCACAACAGTTTTCGTCATCCGTCAATTTGAAATGCCAATTTGTAAGTTACTACTCCGTCCTTGCCGCTATTGGGTGTTTTTTTAATTTCTTGGGAAGTATATTTAATTTCTTGGGAAGTAACACATCTGCCAGTATAACTCATTCTACTTCTATGGATGCGTCGGATGAAGTCGTCAATATTCATCAAATATAGTTTTTCTTAAATCAGCATTTAACCATACATTACATTTCATTGAAAAGTAATGTAATGCTTAAAAAATGTATGGCGAAAAACATCCAAAACCCAGATGAGAATCACTACTTGGAATATCAGATCACTTAACTCAAGGGACCAAAAAATAACCCAAGTGCTGAAAGAAAAAGAAATAAATAGACATTTGTGCTCTACAGAAAATAAAAAGAAAGGAAAAGGTCAATCAAAATAAGGTGAATTCATACTAATGTATAGTGGAGTAGCAAAATAAAACAATGCCAAGGTGTAATCTTAATAATAAACCAAAAGCAGCAAAATCACATTAAACAGTGTCAATACATATCAGAAAAAATAGTAACAGCAAAGATAAGAATGGAGAAGGAATACCTAAACAGACAATAACAAGCCTCAAACAACAAGGGAAGCGTTTTATGACCAATTACAACAAGCAGTATATCATGTCAGAGGAAAGATGATAATATTGGGGGATTTTAAAGCTCAAATAGGCAATCAAGTAGTTAAGAACAAAAAAGGAGAACTGATGATCAACTTCTGCACGAATAACGAACTAAGAACAAACAATACATATTTTTGACCACAAAGAACAACACAAATATATATTTAATAACACCCGTGGACAAAGATCTATGATATATTATGTAATAACCAACAGAGATATACATCCATCAAAAATAATTGACGTAAGATACTTCAACTCAGCAGATGTAGGTAGCGACCACAGTCTAGTATTATGTAAAATACGAATAATTCTGAAATACTTTTCACCCAAAAAAGGGCCGCCAACACAAACAAAAATAAAAGTCGAAGGACTAAATACGGAATCCACAGAATGCTTATACAGAAAAGAATATCAGAGAAGATCGCTAGGAATGACATATTAGAAAATGATTCCATCGAGGAAAGCTAGGAAAAACTCAAAAATGACATAATTAACGCAGCAATAGAATCACTTGAAGAGAGGAAAGTAATGAACACTAATATATCAAAAAGAAAACAGCCTGATTTAAAGAGGAAGTGAAGACAAAATTGAAGGAAAAGCCTTTTTACAATACAGAAAACAACAAACACAACAGGCATGCAACCACTATAAACGAATCAGAAATGAAACGAATACTTTAGTTAGACAAATAAAAAAGGAACACTGACAGATTTTCTCAAATCAGAGGGAATACGACTTCTACGGAACGTAAAAATAAATATGGAGAATGACCAGTGGACAAATAAAATAGATGAACGAATTAATAAAAACGAAACACATTTAAAAGAAAACATGTCTAGTCCACTTTCGATCCCTATTTGCTAAAGGTGAAGATAATGAGCCACCAACAACAGAGCTGACGACAACCGAAGAAATAAATATTGAGAAGGAAGAGATAAAGAAAGCATTAAGAAAATTACTAAGTACAAAATCACCAGGAGAGGACAAAATACCGAATGAACTTCTAAAGCACGGAGGACCAGATTTAAGCAAACAACTATTAAAACTAATCTAAAAAATAATACAACGAAACAAAATTCCTGAAGAATGGAGATCAAGCCTCCTAATACCTCTTTTGAAAAAGGGAGACAAATCGGACTCTTGGTAAATTATAGAGGAATTAATTTAATAAATTTAACAATAAAATTAACAACAAAAGTGACAACAAATAAATTGAATGAACACTAGCAAAGAGCGACAAGGTTTTAGGTCGGGAATGTCATGCACTGACGCTATATTTATAATAAGGCAAGTGCAAGAGAAACCATAAGAATACAACAAACCGGCATATCTATCTTTCGTGGACCTTACAAAGGCATTTGACCGGGTCAAATTAAAAGACGTTATCCACTTACTGTACGCAAGAGAGATACCTCTAGGAATAATCAGAATGATCGAAAATATCAACCAAAACAACACAATAAAAGTAAAAGTAGAAGAAGATCTAACCGACCCTATTGAAACTGGCAATGGGGTGAGACAGGGAGATTCATTAAGTCCTGTATTGTTTAACTTGATTAGGGATGGAATAATAAAACAAGTAAAAACTAAAAAACGATACCAAATGGGAAAAAACAACTTATCTGATATGCAGACGACGCAATACCACTGCCTCAAAGTAAAGATGATTTACAACGTATGCTGCACCAATATTATATAAATGCTAGAGAATTAACCATTTAAATTTTCCCAAAAAAAAAACAATATGTATGGTTACAACAATAAATTTACTTAGATGTAAATTGGAGCTGGAAGGTCAGATAATAAAACAAGTGATGGAGTTCAAATATCTAGATATCACATTATGTAGCTGCGGAAAGCTCAAAACCGAAGTGAAAGATCAAGTGAATAGAGCAAACAGAGGCTCTAAATAAAACAATATGAAGAAATAAAAATATCGAGAAAGAAACGAAAGGCAGAATTTACAAAACAGCCATCAGACCAATAATGATATACGCAGCATAAACAAGACCTGATACAGAGAGGACAATAGAGATTAAAGCCGTTAGAAAATACAATCTACGTCCTTTGGATCACAACTAAATTGCATGTCGCCAGTGTACTTAAGTCAATATAGTAAAAATTTGACTTATGCCTTTTTTCCCCAATACTAGACAAATCATTATGTGGTTGATTACTATCTGTGACTCTCTGAATAAAAAATTTAAAGTAGTATTTTCCAATAGCTCCAATAGGTAAATATTTGAATTTTAAGATTTTTAAAGTTTTTTATATAATGGTATAGGATATAGTTTACTTACAAATTATTTCTTTTAGAGTTTGAAACGATTATGTCCAATGTTTTGCTATTTTTAATAGCAGGGCGTGACTCCACTACTTCAATAATAAGCTTTACTTTATATGAAATTGCCATTAATCAAGAAATCCAAAACAAATTAAGGAAAGAAGTCAAATTAAATTTTCAAAAATATGGATCGATTTGTTTTGAGGGAGTCCAAGATAACAAATACTTAGAAATGTGCATTAATGGTAAGTAATATTTTATTACTATTAAGATACTGACTGTCATTAAGAGATTCATTAATTTAAAATAAATAGTATATACTTGTTTCATTTACCCCTAACACTACATCGCGATTTTTTTATTTTTGCAACACTTTTTTTGCAATTAAAAATTTTTTAATAGGGAATAAGAAATACTAAAACAGGTGTGATATTGGAAAAAAAAAAATTTAATACACTTTTGGGTTTTTAATTTTTAAGGTTTATTAAAAAAAATTGGTTAAATCATATTTGAATCACTGCGCAATTCTAATATCTTAATTTTTAAGTTAAGTACATTGATTTTTGGTTTTTGTCGCTGAATTCATTTTAACCTTAGTTTAATATCTGCTACAAATGCTTGATGATCAGAGCCAATCTGTCTCAGGAAATGTAGTGACTTTTTTGACGGCATTCCAGAAACGCTCATTTACAAGTATATGTCTATTTGATTTCTTGAGGACTCGGGATTATTGAGTCATTAATATCGCTTTTAAAATGTGTAGTCGTCGCTTGGGTAATTTATACCAGGTGTATGCAATGATCATATTGTTTTCTTTACAAAATTCATACAATGTTTGTCCTCGATCGTAGACCATAAGGACATACAGTCTGACCTCGTTAACCTTTCCCAATTTTTGCATTGAAGTCGCCTATAATATATAAAATTTCGTGTTTATTAAGTCTCTGTAAGATGTCTTGGTACTAAAATTGGTACTAAAACCTTAGTACTAAAATTGGTACTGAAATATTGGTATAACTAAATGTATTGGTACTAAAATTTTTTTAACTTTCGGAAAACTTTTTGCTCATTTTTGGCAATTTAACAGAGTAGAGCTTTTAAACAAGTTTTAGATCGGTATAGAGATTAATTTTTTGCTCTAAAAATGTCCCATGGACTCTTGCCTTTAATTTGTGGTTGTAAAAGAATATAATGTAGATTTGTAAAGCTATTATTTTTAATATTTGTTTTTTTTTTCGCAAACACTTGATTAAACGTGGTAAAACCCGTCTTACCAAACATCTTTTTGTAGAAACTTTAAGGAAGTACCCTACTTTACCATTTTTGGATCGAACCCCTATCAATGATTACCAGTTTAAGGATACAGATTTAAAAGTTGACAAAAACACATCAATACTAATTCCACTGTTTGCTCTTCACAGAGATGAGCAGATTTATCCTAATTGTAAGCTGTACAGTCCTGAGAGATTTTTAAATGAAAAGATTAACTCAGATGGCTTGGATTTTATACCATTTGGAGAAGGACCAAGAATTTGTATTGGTAAGTATTGTATTTGCCTACTTAATACGGTTTCTCCTTCAATCAAGCTACAGTCAAAATTGGATGGTGACTTCCTGTAATTTCTGTTTCGCGCGGTTCTGCATCATCCCCATACATTTTGTGTCGTCTATCCAGTAACTTATAGAAGTATAACTTCCATAAGTTATACTTCTTCTATTAAAGACTGGAGTTTTTCTTCTGGGGACATTGACTGTAATGTTAGTGATTTTCTAAATAGACTTGTATCTATTTTAATAAAGCATTTCCTCTATTAAACATCAGGCCAAAACATAACAAACCTTGGATTACCAAAGGCATTCGCATATCTGCGAAAAATATGCGTTCTCTGCTATATATTAAAAAATTTAATAACAGTATCCCCATCTCTGATTATATCAACAAGTACAGAAAATGCTATATAAAACTACTCAAAGTAGCCAAAAAATCCTACTTTCATAATCGCTTAACAGGCTCCAAAAATATTTCAAAAGAAACTTGGTCAATAATAAACGATTTTCGAAATAAAACCAGTACAGGGGATGAAACCTTTTCTTTTCCTAACCCCGAAAATCTAAATGATTACTTTGTTAATGTGAGTAAAAATATAACCTCAACTATTTCGCCACAACAAGATCCAGTTTCCTATCTCTCTAATTCAAAAAACATTGCTGATACCTTCTTTTTAAGACCAGTTGATAAGACGGAACTCATTTCAACAATTCGTAGTATAAAAAGCACATCGTCCTGTAGTACAGATGGATTATCTATTAAAATTTTCTCAAATCCACCGCATAATGTTTTGGAGGTCATGGTCTCGCTAGTAAATGATTCCCTTGAAAAAGGTACATTCCCTAACTGCCTAAAGACTTCCATCGTCATTCCTCTTCATAAAGGTGGAGAAAAATCTGATGCCTGCAACTATAGACCTATTGCTTTGTTACCAGCACTATCAAAAATTATTGAAAGACTTATAAAAGTTCGACTTATGCCCTTTCTCCTTAAATATAATATTTTATCGCAAAATCAGTTCGGCTTTTTGTCTAATAAATGCACTAGTGATGCCATATTTTCTGTGTTACATGATGTATATCTATCACTAAACAGTAACCTCTCCTCCGCCACCATTTTCTGCGACTATTCCAAAGCCTTTGACTGCGTAAATCACGACATTCTATTAAAAAAATTAACTTTCTAAGGAATTCGGGGTGTGTCTTTGAAATGGTTCAAAACTTACTTGGTAGGTAGGAAACAATTGGTTAGAATAAATGACTCCGACTCTAGTTGTAAAGATATTGAGTGTGGAGTACCGCAAGGTTCAGTATTAGGTCCCATGCTTTTTTTACTTTTCATTAATGACATCACTTACTTGAAAATTAAAGGGAAAATTTTTCTATTTGCTGATGATACCAGTATTTCTTGAAGCAGCTCTGATATTTCAACGCTTCATTCAATTATAACCGCTGATTTACTTATAATCAAGGCTTGGTCAGACTCCAACTTACTTAGCTCTAACGTGGATAAGACTGTAGCATTATCTTATAAAGGAATCATGCAACCCTTGCTTTTAAATGAGAGCCAAATCAATATCGTAAATTCCGTGAAATTTCTAGGTATTCTCATTGACAGTGATCTCAAATGGTCCTTGCATACTGACTCCTTAAAGAAGAAACTAGCCTCAGCTTGCTTTGCAATAAGATCTGTTTCGAAGGAACTAAATTTATCTTCTGCCAAAATGGCATATTTCTCATTGTTCGAGTCCCATCTTCGATATGGACTTCCATTTTGGGGTTCTAGTACAGCGGCCCAATTTGATACTATTTTTAAGTTGCAAAAAAGAGCAATCCGTTATCTATTTGGTCTCAAACAAACAATTCATTGCAAGACCTACTTCAAAAATCACGGAATTTTGACGCTTCCCTCTTTATTTATTTTGGAAACGGTTTGTTTGATTCGAAAGCATCTAAACATTTTTCCCGATAGACCTGACCATGGCTACTCCATGAGAAATTCGGATTGTAACGTTTATTTGCCGATCCCGTCCACTCAGCTATAATATATCGTGCAAAGAAACTTTATAATCACCTTCCAAGAGAAATTAAATCCGCAACATCCTTCATTAAGTTTCGTAAGGTGACAAAAAATCTATCTCTCAGAAAGACCATATTATTCAGTTGACGAGTTTCTTAATGTATAACAAAGAAACAAAATTAGTATTGTTTATAATTAGATTTGGGTGTCTCAAGCAGTGGCTACAATTCTGAGATAAATTTTTTTAAACTTTTTTAAGAACTGTTGATTTTCTTTTTATGTTTGTGTCATCATCTATGTCTTATATCTTTAGCATTTTATTGGTCCAATAATGGCTTTTCGATCTTATTTGATTTCTGCAACCCAATTAATTCACAACCTAGTTTGTGTTTCATGGTCTACAAACCATTGATTTGCACTAAAAGGTCAATTTGACTTTTTGTTAAAAAAATGACAAAAAAGTGACTTTTTGTAAAAAGCTAGTGGTCAAGAAGCAAGCAAAAGAAGAAAGTAAGTAGAGGAGAAATATTACTGATTGCAAACTGATTTTGTTTACAACCCTCTAATTTTCAAAATAGAATATTTTCTTTGTTCAGTATTTAAATCACTCCAGGCTTTTCTTCAGGCTTTTAAGCTATGGTTATATAGAAGGATCCTGAAGATGCCATGGACAGAAAAACCACCAATGAAGAAGTACTGCGGAGGATACATACAGCCACAGAATTGGTCAACATCGTAAAGGGCCGTAAGCTGCAGTACTTGGGACATATAATGAGAATTCAAGGCAGATACAAGCTACTTGAATGCATTTTGCAAGGTAAAATTGAAGAAAAAAGGCCCAGGAAATTTTGCGACGAAACGACGAAAAAGACTATCCTGGCTTGCTAAACTGAAAGCATGATATAGAAAGACCTCAACACAGCTATTTCGTATAGCAACCAACAAAGTCATCATAGCCAGAATGATTGGTAACGTTCGGGACCCTCAGAAGAAGAAAGAAAATTCACTCCACTCTCACTGTCAAAGTTGACACAACTGTCTGTTAAAAACTCACGTGGAAGATGTATGGTGTGTTAATAAAAAAATTTGTCTCCGCAATTGCGAAACTAACAACTTTAAGTAACAACGTATATTATCACATACTGTACCTACCTGCTTCTGTTACATATAGTACGTAGAATAATAAAAGTTAGTTGCAAGTTACTCATATTCTTTTCGTACCATGGACAATCAAAATAATACAGTCCACTCACAAGCCGCAGAGAATAACGGCGGGATAAGTTAGTAGAAGAAAGTACGTGGAATCACACGTAATTCCATCTCAAACGCCAGCATTTTTTCCTTCTAAGCAAAGGAAAATCTTACGAATTAAAAATAAAAATAAATGTCTGAAAGATAAAAGAAAAACTGGCAAATTGTAATTGTAAATTAAATGTTAAATTAACGAAGTTTTTAATCGAGATGTTTTGGCAATATTTAATAATACTGCTAATAAAGGAAAACGGTACCTATTTCACGGGGATCGAACCAATATAGAGATGCGTTTTTTTCATTATATGGCGTTAGTAAGAACAAAATAGAACTGATTATCAAGCACTTTTAAAATAATACTCCAGCATTAAAAAATATGCGTGAAAAACACAGAAATCGCCCCGATACGATGCGTGAGAATTTAATACATCAAATTTATTCGCATTATACAGTTATTTTCCAAAATATTGTCTAGCAATCGAAATTGTATATTGGACTCGGTGGGGCATATATGTTGGTAATCAATATATTATTTTATAGGCCTTTTAGATGTGTTTTCCACATCGATGTACCTTACCAAGTTCATGTTAGCCTAGACATCACGGATCTTTTTCGACGTCCGTAATGTTTTCAATACGCTTGAGCCGGCAGTGGTTGTGGGGTCGTTGGAGGAGAGGGGTAGTCCGGATTGCCTTCTAAATGTAATTGAAGACTACTTTATTGAAAGGAAGCTGCATATTGACATGGGAATGGTTGTAGAAGTATTCCGATAGTTTAGTTTAGCTAGTAGTTGACCGATGTTTAGCAGGGTCCGTTTTGGGTCCCACGCTATGAAATCTAGCATACGACGGGATTTTACGCCTCGAATAACCTGAGGGTTGTAATTCTTTTGCATTTGTGGACGATCTCGCAGTGCTGGTGGTAGCGAGGGACTTGGACAAACTCCGTCATCGAGCAAAAGCCGCAAGCGAAAGTGTATATGATTGGATGAATGACAGTCTTACACTGCCAACATGGAAGACTCAGGTCATTATCCTGAAGGAGCCGCGAAAGAGAGAAGGCGTATGGTTTGAGTATGATGGAGTAAGGATTGTACCCGCGGGTGCGTAAAGTACCTGGATATAACCTTGCATGAGAACGGGGGCTTTGGTGAGCACTTCAGAAGAGTGACACGGAGGGCAGCAGAGAGGGCGACTGCATTGGGAAGGATTATGCCCAATATCTCGGACCCAGCTCCGAAAGGAGAAGGGTCCCAAACGGGGTTGTTCAGTCGATTGTCCTTTACGCGGCACCGGTGGGGGTATAAAGCAGCAGAGATTTCCTGTTATAGAAATCTTCTGATGCGGATGGATCGGTTATGAATGATCCGTACGGCATGCGCATACGGTGTGGTGAACACACATTTGCTCGCAAGAGTATAGCATAGGTTGTATGTGCGTGGGAACGTCAATGGAAGAATAAGTAATGAGGAAAGGGCCACTTCTATCGAGAAATGGCAGCGAAAGTGGGAAGGGATGGAGGATGTGGCACAGTTGACGAAGTCGCTGATTCCGGATATCCGATGGTGGGTAAAATGTGGGCATCGGCGTGGGGGATACTTCCTTAAGCACGTGCTCACAGGCCATGGATGTTTTCAAATCTACCTGAGGAGGTTCGGGAAAGCGGCTGACGATCGATGTCTATATTGCCGAGAAGTGGACACTGTGACGAACACTCTGTTCTATTATCCTAGATGGTTAGCGGAAAGAGCGAGGATGAATGCGGGATTTGGCAGAATGATCCTATATGTAAATGAAATGGTAGGTGAAATGATGACGAAGGTCATAAGATGGACAACGGGTGACAGTTTTATTCGCGCGGTTCTCGCCGCTAAAGGGAGAGAGAGAAGAGGATGTTGGTTGTCTAGTCGTTGTTGGTTGGCAAGGATTAAGAGCAGGGATGTGACGGAGGGGGTGACTGGATGGGTGCAGTAAGTGAAAGGAAGAGAGTTGACGGCGCAGGTTACCAGACGTACATCTTCACAGACAGTTCCGGGTGGCCTGCGAAGTCCCTGTAGTGTTTAGTCCACGCAACACGACCTGTGGTTAGGATTGAGGGAAAATGATGCTTGTCCCCATTCTTGCTTAAACTAGCCTTAGATGTTACCCTGGAGTGAAGGACAGCCGAAGCCTGGAGATGATTTCAAACAGGATAAAAAAAGGCATTATGGATCCAGATATTATTTTCGGTGTTTTTAAGCATAGCGTAAAATTCTCCAGCTACAATTATGATAAATTTATGTGGTATGTTGAAGATGTGTCCATATTTTACATTATTTCGTTGTGGTCCTTCGATTTCTTTAGCACAATCAAGTATGATTTTCGTTAATTCATAGCTGTCGATTTGGTCATCTAATCTTTTATTCACTGTCCCTTGGAAGTGATCTAATTTTTTTACGATGTTAATATGTACATGGTTTACTGTTGATTTTGTAATTAATTTTTTTCTTTTTAGTTTTAGTCTATGATTACTCTATGGTCGCTACCAGTTTGAAATTTATCGTATTTTATTTTATATTGTAATTTATTCATATTTTATATTGTAATTTATAATGCTATCCGTTAGAATTAAGTCAATTTCGTTTATGGTCGTTCTACTTGGTGTTATCAAATATTGCTGTTTTTTGTTTGTGAAGTATACGTATGCAGAATTTGTTTTATTTAATTTAATTCTCCACGTCCTTGTCAAATTATTGATAACTTTGCAAATTGAATGGCAGTGTCTTTACTATTAACACTGCCATCAAAGCAGTAGAATAGGATAAATTTATTTATAGGTCATTTTTTATTTTTAGGTAAACGAATAGGACTCCTGGCAGTGTCGATGGCTTTATCAAATTTGGTTCTAAATTTTTCATTCGAAAAATGTAACGAAACTCCTAACGAAATTGAGTTTGAGACAAAAAGTTTTGCACTGACCTCAAAACATGGACTGTTTGTAAAAATATCGCCCATACAAGAATAGGAATATTTAATTATACCATATGCAGTTAGATAAAGGAATGAAATAAGTAGTTAGCCAAAGCCACTCAATTATTGAATAGGAAAGAAGAAAAATAGATTTTGTTTTTGATTTTATAGTATTCATGACATTTTCATATGTATTTAAAGTATGCTGAGATAAAGAAGACAAATAAAATCACGTAAATACTAAACTATTGTCGACTTAATGTATAGGTATCGATAGCAGTCTTTTTAAAAAATGAACTAAAAAGCCAAAAGCCTCGTTACCTTCGCGCCAGAATGTATTAGTTTCCTTTGAGGAATACAAGTGTAATTACTTAGAAACTGTTCATAAACTTACAGTTTATCGCAGTTACCAACAGGAAGTTCATAATATAATTTTTTCTATCACTTTCTATATGTGTATGTGTTTGTATGTGTGTATGTATATGTCTGTATATAGATATGTATCTATGTGCATATAAGTGTCTTCTTCTTAGGATGCTGTCAGTTCTGAACGTTGGCGATCATTCTGGCTATGATAACTTTGTTGTATATTGTTGGGTAATTATATACCTATTTTAATTCTTCTATTTAAAAACTAAATCCCCTATTAGCATTATGAAAAGCTCAAATGTAGTTTTTAGAGTAACATGTGAAAATTTTGATGTCATACATCGGACACACATCTAGAAATCTAACAGGCAGACTAACACCCTATAAAAGTGACCTCAAGGACATGAAAACCAATTAAATAAAAAGAATTCTTAGAAATGATATGCATGAATAAATATCAATGTGTTAATAAAAAACTGATATTAATAAACTAAACAATATCTTTTAATGTTTTGATGTATCGTTTAATGTTAATCAAAATTTAATGTTTTGTGATGTTTAAAATTTAATCATTCATTCATTATCATCATTAATGGCGCTACAATTCTTCGTGAGTCGTTGCCGCGTTTACTATTGCCTTCCATGTTTGTCGGTCCTGTGCCAGTAATTCCCATTGTCGCACTTCCATTTTCTCTAGATTTTCTCTGACTGCATCTTTCTTTAAAATTTAATGGATTAACCTAATGTTAGCCTCAAAATACAACCATATTGTAACGTATCCTAAAAAAAACAAATAAAATAGGACTCTTAAGCTAGCGGGGACAAATGAGAGGAATCCTATTTAACCTATGTAATATTCTTCGCCAATTTTTCACTAATTTTTTATCACCCTAATAATTTTTCACCACCAAACCCTTAATGGGAGCGATTCTGCTGGCTTAAGACTCAAGCTAGCCAAATTCATCAAAATTTTGTCAATGGCATGTTTTTTATCTATTTTTCACTAACTTATTACCACCCTAATATTTTTTCACCATCAAACCACCCTTAAGGGCGCGATTTTGCTGGCTTATGGTTAAAACTAGTAGAATTAAAAAATATATATTTATGATATACCACAGTGCTCTGCTAGATTTTTATGAATTTATTACCACCTTAGTAATTTTTCACCCATTACCTACCCCTTATGGAAAGTCAATATTTCTGTTAGATTAAAATTTAAGGGAAAAAATTCTTTTATTTGAAATTTGCTCCTTTCTACTTATAACTGAAGTAAAAACCATATTTTCAATGTTTACTAAACTTTAACCACCCTAATAATCCTGCACCCCTAAACCAATCTTATTTGGAAACGTTCCTGCTAGCTTAGTATTTGAGCCAGCGGAATTAGAAAAAAATATATTTTTGAAATACCACTAGGTTTCAACGAATTTTGTCCTCAACTGCCTCTTATGAAAAGCCAATAATTCTGTTTACGTTAAAATTTAAGGTGAAAAATATTTTTTTACAATTTCACTCTCCTCTATTTATAACTGAAATAAAAAAGTGTTATGTTAAGTTTAAACTAAACTTTGATCAACATGATAATTTTTCATCCCTAAACCAATCTTATTTTATTTGTAGTAATTCCAGCGGAATTATTACAAATTATTTTAGAAGTACCAAGTATTCTGCTTGGTTTTTACGAATTAATTACCACTCTAGTAATTTTTTACCCTTAACTAACCCATGTGGAAAGTCAACAATTCTTAAGTTCAAATTTAAGCTGATGAAAAATCTGTTGTACAATTTTAGTGTACTTTATCAATCAATAATTCTGTTAGGTTAAAATCTATGGCGAAATTTTTTTCATATTACACTGTACTCTACTTATAATTGAACTAAAAAAGTATTCTGGTTAGTTTTTGCTAACTTGCACCACCCTGATAATTTTAAACCACTAAAGCAATTTTATTTGGAATCTTTCACGCTAGCTAAATATTCGAGCCATTAGAATTAAAAAATATATGTATTTTTGAAGTGCCACAGTATTTTGATAGGTTTTTACAAGTTTATTACCGCCGTTTTTCACTTTCTAACTACTCCTTGTGGGAAGTCAATATTAAGCTATTAAGCGGAAGTTCGAATATTAAGCTACCTAATTCAAATAAAAAATTTGAAATACCACATGACTGCTCGATATTTACTAATTTTTCGCCTCTCAACTAACTCTCTCAAATTCCTTAAAAAGGAATTTTTAAATACCACTGTGTGCTACAAAGCTTTTCCAATTCATTTACCACCTTTACAATTGTTTACCCCTCTATAAGAAGCCAATAATTCTGCTAGGTTAAATTTTGCACTGACAAACAAAATTATACAAGGTATTTTTAATAATTTTTTTGTATTGTACTTTTACTTCAACCTTTTACTATTTTTTTTTATCTTCATATTTTTCACCCAACACACAGACCACAAATTCCGCACTTTACGTTTAACTTTTGGGGGCTTAAAGTCATACTTTTTCGTCCGGTATAAAAAAAATGCACGTTTTTACGTTACAAGAGTTAAAAATCAATTATAGGCGTGATCGTGCGTAGATGAATATGCACTGGTGTTTATTACTAAGGGCAGTACAGGGGTGCTATATTTTCAATTTATTACTGGAGATAAATACTAGTAAAGAGGGTGGTATCAACCTAAAATCCGATGAAGACTGCAGCCCCCACTCCTTGATTGGCGGTACACTTCGCTCAGGTCTATGAATGTACCCAATAAATACAAATATTTTAATCTTTTAACAATAGGTTCGCAAGGTGTCCCGATCCTCCTTTACAATTAGCTAATTAATGTAATAGACGTAATAAATTATTTGAATTTGAATATTTCTTATAATATTTATGAATATTTGAATATTCTTTTACCTGGTTATTTTTCTGTAAAATATAACAATTCCATTGTATTTACTAAAACTTAACTTAATTTCAGTTATTTTATATTCATAAAAGGGACTCACGATTCGATTTCTCTTAGCCATGTACTTACTATTATAATCAGAGTCAATTTTTCATAACAATTAAAATTTATAATAGTTATAATAAAGTATATTCATCTTTTCATTATTTAACATTTAAAAATAAATATTAGTTTATTAGCATAGGGTAATATTTCAGAATGTTTTTAATTAGGGTATTTAAGAGAACGATGACTAGGCTGGTAAAAATATAGTAAAAATCTAGTAGTAGTAGTAGTTTTGTATTTCCAAAAAGATTTTGCATTTAGCTAGCGTGAATGCGTAGCTTTTTGAATGTTTCTCATTAACTGTGGCTAGGGGCTCAAAACTTATGAGGGTAGATGAAATTCAGGAAAAACCTGGCAAGGAATAATTTATACTTTCAGTAACAAGAAGAGTACAACCAGTGGCGGTCTCAGAGTCAGATTTTGGGAGGGGCGATGGTATGTTGCAGGGGGGTCTGGGGGTGCAGCCCCCCATCCGGAAAGGGGGTCCAGAAAATTTGTAAAAATATGGCAAGATTTTGAGAGTTTTAAAGGCATTTTATTCATTTGAACAGTTGATGGACCGAATATGGACTGACTGTCACTAAGTGGTTGTGACGAACGGAGAAAAAGGAAAATCACTTATTATTATTACAATTAGTATCAGTGGAAACAGTTTTACACTATAATAAAAAATAAAACAGCTAGCCTCTAAAGCTTGTTGTAAATATTGTTCGGCTAACTTACAAATAAAATATTCAAAATATATTTTGTATTCTTGTGATTGTATCAAAAACCAATTTAGAACTATTGAAAACAACTCAAAGTCTAATAGAAAAGGTTTGTGGGTGATAGTATTTTTCAATGGCAAGCCTCTGAAGCGAGTCTCATCTTTCTAAACCTTTGACGATTTAGGTGGTTTTACGTTATCACGAACAAACGTCCAACTTCAGAGGTTTGGTCTGACAATGTTAGTTTTACGCTTGAATTGAAAGAACTCAAAACACATTTCACCTTTTAAAATGTTAAAATTTACAATAAATATACAATACAAATTTGTCTATTAGAATGGAAAAAAGGAGGTTCACATTATACATTTTAATAGTTTTATTAGGTTATAAATAATAAAATAACGAGTTATAAGGTTTTAAAAAGACTGTAATTACAAATCGAATTCAAGTCTTCGATGGCCACTTTTGGCGAATCGTTCTAAAACTTTCGTTGAGTCTACAGGGATATCTCGATGGGCATGGATTAGAGCAAGTCCAGTCAACCTGTCTTAACGCATCCGTTTTCTTAGCCACGACTTTATTCTCTTTAGAGATTGAAAGCTACGCTCTGCAGAAGCATTGCTGATCGGAAGTGTAGCTAAGACTAGAAGTAGCTTGCTGACTGTAGGGAATAAATCTCTGTTACAACTGTCTAACGCGTCCAGCGCTGTTTTTGGAAATTCGTCCGTGTCTTTCCATTGCATTCCCCAAAGCTGTAGTTCACCTTTCAATAAGCATTTCATTTCAGTCTGAGACATATCAAAAAGTTCACTGTACCTCCTTACTAAACACTCAATTTTTCAGATATGTCCTGAACAGAGTTGGTTATCAGGTATTCAGGCATGCATATGTGAAGATTGTACAACTCTAATGTATCTTCAGGAAAACGAGACTGTGTGTCTTCTATTACAGAGTCTAGAATGGGAAGGAACACTGATACTCTAAAGTATGTCTCTGAGTCTTTAATTGCGTGGTTGGCTCGATTCCTCTGCACTTGTGATATTCTTGGAATACTCATATCAAAATTTGTCTTTCGGCGATGTCCTGTGCTTCTTGGTACAAACCTTTAAAGCAAACAATTGCTGTGTTCCGTTGATTGGCAAGTGCTTTGG